AGACTTCTGGTTGAGAAAGGACCACGGTTTAATCTTGTATAGGTACATGCAAAATGGGAGCCTTCATGATGTTTTACATGAAATTAAACCCCCACCAACTCTTGAGTGGAGTGTCCGCTACAGGATAGCACTTGGAACTGCATACGGGTTAGAGTATCTCCATTATGATTGTGACCCCCCTATAGTTCATCGAGATGTTAAACCAATGAACATCCTCTTAGACGCTGATATGGAGCCTCATATTGCTGATTTTGGTATTGCTAAACTTCTGGATCAGTCTTCTGCATCAATGACGTCCATTGCAATTGTGGGTACAACTGGATATATTGCACCAGGTAATTCTTCTAGTTTCATTTTCATCAACAATGTTTCTATATTCAGGTATACAATGAACTAAAGTATTTGGCATATTTTGTGACAGAAAATGCATTTAGACCAGCAAAGACCGTGGAATCTGATGTGTACAGTTATGGGGTTGTTCTACTTGAGCTGATAACTAGAAAGAAGGCATTGGATCCATCATTTGTAGAGCAAACTGACATTGTAGGATGGGTTAGGTCAGTGTGGAGCAACGCAGAAGAAATTGATCAAATTGTTGATTCAAGCCTTAAGAAGGAACTTCTGGATTCAAGTATCATGGACCAAGTTGTTGATGTTCTTATGGTGGCATTCAGATGTACTGATAAAGATCCTAGAAAGAGGCCGACGATGAGAGATGTTGTGAAGCAATTATTAGATGCAAATCCCCAAGTGAGAAGCATAAAAGGCTAGCTCTTGAATCTTCCGAATGGGTTGTTCTAACTGGTATGCTTTATCTACTTTACACTAGGTTTAGTCCTACTTGATAGTGTTGCATTCGTATGTAATTATGAGGGAAATGACTTCAAAACATGCTATCTATCTCTCACACACACAGTTGCTGGAACATTGAAGTCAGTCGCCCAGCCTCGGAAGCTGAGATAGGAAATTCCCATGCTGTAGCCTGTTGCTTGTTGCTTGTTGCTTCTATACGTAACATGTATGCGTCATTCATGAACGACCATTATATGATAGTTCATATGTCTCTTATGCACATTCCACTTTGCTGATGCATTTTATTTCTGGCGCATCTATATGTACACAACTAATGTATTGGTATACTGGCCTGTTATTAACCCCTGATAAGATCCTCTGCCTATGCAGTTTTTGCTACACTAGTTAGTTTGCTTGCCAGCAGCATAGCTTTCTTAGTTTATCATAATAACCATATTAGTGATTGAGTCAGAACGATAACTTCTTGAGGTCTATGAGATTAGGGTGATCACTTGTTAAATGTTAAAATGTTTAGAGAAATTAAAACATGAATGATGAGGATTTTTTCAAGCTTTCTTGAAGTGCAGACATTTTTAAATTGGGCAGGATCCTACTGATTACTGGTGTGTATTGTCTACTAAATGTTTGATCAACCTAAAATTTTCACACACATTTACAAGTTTTAAGCCTCTGAAGATCATCTCAATTGTTACCATATCTATAATGCTGTTTGATGAAAAGCCCTTCTCAAAATGTTTCAAGCTTGCTGAGGATCATTTGCTTGTCGAGAATTTATGAGATACATGCACACAGTATCATATTTAGTCACAGAAACGGATCTTATATTTTTTTACTATTAGAAAAACAGAGTCTCAAGTTTAGTGTAAAAAGCTCAAAAGCAATGCCAAGAGCCATGAACGTAAGAAAATTAAAAAGCTAAAGATATGTAAGATTTCTGAAGTATGTACCGTATAAATCTTGAATTCATTTTCAACTTCCAAATAACAAAAGCTCAAAAGCACAAAAGCAAAGCTAAAAGAGTCATGAATGTAAGATTTCTCACTCACACAAAAAGCCAATCCCTTATCCCTCCTTCCTCTTTCATTCCATATAAGGATAAGCCTTGGTTTCTTTATACTCCCCCGGATTGGAGGACAACACATTGAGCATTTGTAGACTTGAATTGCTTCATAAAATGTGTTCCGGCATGTTACAAAGGATTCCACACTCTCGAGGAAATTGAATCGTGCTTGCATGGTATGTTTGTAGAATTTACTCCCCACATTCACAGTCCTCTGCTGCAATGTTAATCTCTCTCTCTCTCTCTCTCTCTCTCTCTCTCTCTTTTATTTAGACAATGTAAAAGATGTTTTCAATTATATATAATCAAGAAAAAACTTGCAAGGGACTTGTAGCTCAAGTGGACACTTACTCTTGCACTCAAAGTCCTAGATTTGATTCCCCCTTAGTATATCGCTTGTATAAAAAATAAAGAAAAAACTTCAATATTGAATGCTTAACTTTCTCCATTTATTCTAATTTCAATGTACACATTCAAGTTATCACTAGAAAAAACATAAGAGTCAGGTTTCAGTGTCAAAAGCTGAAAACCAATGCCAAGAGCCCTCTACATAAGAAAAGTTGAAAGATACTCAAGAGCAAACATATATGAATAGACGTAAGATTTCACATTGTGACTCTTCATCCAAATAAAAAGACTATTTGAGTATCTATTCTTTTTCCCCACATGTCAAACTTACAAAATCATTTTACCCCTATGCTAAATATCCAATAACTTTTTTTGGGGGATAAAAGGGGTATGTATAATGTACCTTGTAAATCTTGAATTCAAATTTTTCTTACGAAGTGAGGGAGGAGAGAGAGTAAGGGGATATAGGGTTTTATTTTTATTTTTATCTGTCAAAATTTTTAATTTTGTAATATTATTTCTTAATATTTAATTACACCTAAGCTAAAAAGGTGGATTGTGCGTTTGCCATGTCATCACTTAACAAAAAACCAAACGATCAAATTAACGAAACATGTAAATTGGTCGAATTTTAAAACGTTAGGTCATAAATTGATAAATTGGTGCTCTATGGATGGCTAGTGATTTGCAGTGAATTATCTGGAATAGTTGAATATTGTAATTTTGGTATGTTTCAAAATTCGTAAGGAAAATTCCTGCAATCTGTGGGTCAATTTTTTTGTAGTTGATGCTAAAAAGCATATACTGGAAACTGAAATATGACTTCCAACAATAACAATCTGTGGGTAATTTTACTTATTTGATAGTTTTTGCATAGTTACTTCACATAGGTAAAACTACGATCAGAATTAGTATAAGACCGCATGACACATGTCACTCATAACTCGTGTTGATCCGTACATTGATGTGTCGCCCATGCTGATATTAGAATTGTGTGTTTCTACGATGATTAATGAAGAATGATTATACACTAGGTGCTTTTCATCATATAATTGCATTGCGGTAAGGAAATTTGTATTTATGGGGTGCTATGAAACTTGGGAAGATTTTTCCTTTGGGTGTCTAAAGACCATAATTTATAAGCATGTGTTCATATTTTGGCATGAAAAATTGTGCAAATCATCATTATCTACAAATTGGGTGGTACATGGAACATATAATTGATTATGTAACAAATTTGCATGATTATTGCTTTCGTCTGCATATCAGATACACATTGTATTTAGTAAATAACAATGAAATAAATTGTTGGAGTTAATTCTAAGATTCTTGGAAGTAGGACTTTTCGCTTTTGTTTGATTAGGGTTGAATATGGTGAGTATGGTACTTATTAAAATTACATTTGTTTCACAATTCAATATATCTTTTTTAGTTATTTTATATTAGGGTAAATTAGTAATTCAATAAATAGTATGATAATAGAGTGTACTCAGTTAATTTTAGGGTTCGTTTAACATCACTTTTTTATTTTTATTTTTCACTTGAAGTCTAATTCTCAACTACGAAAGGTACAAAATAAAAATAAAAATAAGTCACATGCTACATTTTATTTTTAAACAAAAAATTCAAAATTAAAGTCAAAGAAGAAATAAAACCTTATGAAACACCTTTTGTTTCGTCATTTTATAGAAAAGGAAATCTTTTGTGATGTCTTTTTTTTTTAATTTAAATTGAGCTTTATTTTAGGTAATCTCATAAGGGGAATATTTTTGCTCACCATATTAATCAAAGGAGTATGCTCACCATCACCCTTAAATATTATCCTGTAGTAGGTGATAGTCCACTTAGTAGATGTTGGGAGTTTAATTTCATGTACAACACCATGAAGGCTCCCATTTTATAGGTACCTATACAAGATTAAATCGTGGTCCTTTCTTGACAATAAGTCTTCCAATTTAACCAGATTTTGATGCTTAATTGTCCCCATTGTTTGAATTCCTCTAACCATGCTCGAACGCCTTTTTTATTGCCCTGCAAATACAAGCTTTTTGACAGCATAATCTTTGTCTTGACTTGAGCCAAAGAGGCCTCATAGATAGTGCCATGGGCTTCTTTCCCAATGATATATTGATCATCAAGATTTTTTGTAGCCTTTATTATTTCGTTCAATAAGGAAATTAATGACTCATCCAGTATGAATATTAATAATCAATTCATTTAGTATTATTATAAAAGAAGACTATTATTAATTATGATTACATTTAATTCATTGTGATTGCGTTTAATGTTTTATAAGTGACTCATTTAATAGGGCCATATAGGCTGGGCCCATTGGCCTACCCAGGAGTTTGAAACTTTTAGGCCCCATTTGGTTCACAGAACGGATTTGAAGAGAAATCACTTCCCATGTCATTTCCCAAGGGGTTGGAAATGAAGGTTCATTTCCCATGGTAATTCTGGGAAAGTAATCAAGAAATACAACTTTATTTCCTTTCATATGTTTAGTTTATGTAGGAATGTAAAACAAATTTTGTTTAATTTTCCAATTATACCCATATAAAATCAAATAAAAAAAAAGCATCTAATGCTATATTGTAATTCTAAATTGTTAATGGGGACAATATAGTCATGAAAAATGTGTATTTAATGTTGGCTAAATTTCCCAAACTTTCCCCCTAATTTCTTATGTGAAAGGCAACGATTTCCCATGCATGGACCTACCAAACATGGGAAAAATGTGTATTTAATGTTGGTTTAGATGTTTTGTTAGGGAGATGTGCTATAGTCCAAGGTTTCCATCACACATCTCCCTAACAAAACGTCTAAACCGACTATAACACTCAGCCCAATCATCAAACATGTCCAAGTCTAGTCTCACATTGAATGAGAAGTTAGGCCTTTCTAGCCAACTGCAGTAAACCTTAGACATCTTCACGACTTGTTTGATGAAATCATCATCTAAACAAGTGTCAACAACTTCAGCTTCAAATGGTATGTTGGAGGTCCTATTAGCTGCAATCAGACCTCTGAGAAAGCCCTCTGGGCTACTGTATTTGCTCCTCTGTTTATTGTCTTGGAGGTCGAAAGAAGAGCAGCACATACTGAATCCATAAGTGACAAGCATCTGAGCCACTGGTAAGTACCTGTCTCTTGCTGAAGTGTTGTAGTACCCCGTTGTGAGCTCCGATGGGTGAGACTCTGTCCGATAATACCAATATACAACTGGTATCTTTGCAGACAAGCTCAAATTGGTACCCAAGAAAATATCACGAGCTTCCTTGCAAATACGCTTTCCATGCATAAGCAGCTCAGATCGGCCATATTGTGAATTCCAAGACTTCACACCGGCACCTATGAAGAATGTCTCATCAATAGCCCCCATCAATTGCAAATTAACTCATTCACATCCACGTGCAAACATAAACTGCCCAATATATACAAGTCAGCATATATTATAACTTATCGAGATAGCTCTTGAAAGTATCTTTAAAAGCCATCATAAAATGTGCATACACTTGTATTGGTGTACGCCAATTCAGGAGAGGAACATCATCACAACTGAGAGATATGTATTTGGAATATTGTCCCCCAAATCTATCACAATATGCTAACTCTGGAAATTCAGTACTCTCCTTCCTCACCCAAGGAGAGAGGACAAACCTTCAATGCAGAAATAAACATTCAGTGCGCAAATAAAATATTCATTCATGACATCTAATAGTTAATAGTTAAATGTGCTATGAACGTGATTTAGGCTGTAAGCATGCAGATGCAGTGCATTGCATTAAAAGTATTGTTCAACACTCAAATCTTGTGGTCAAACTCAAATTGTTAATGGATATTTGATTACTGAACCAAATAAGAAGAAACCTATACGAATTAATGAATTACAAAGTACTGCCAGAGATGGTGACATCAATTTCTACTTCTTAGCTTAATTATATTTAGCATACCTAGAATTAGAATAAGACTACTTTGACATAAATAAATGTACTGTATGTTCTAATTCAGTCCATCAGACTGTGTACATCACTAGCTACCATTTAGGGCTCGTTTGGTACACCGTATTAGACTCTGGATAAGAGTAAATAGTCAATGTCAGGTGTTTGGTGTCTACTTGTATTATTTAATTACCTGACTAACTAATACAACTCACACACTCCGGTTTAGATAATACATGCTTAATTATACAGCTAGGAAAAAGAACACACATGTTCACGGGAAAAATCCAACGACGTTATTTTCATCTTCTTCTCCCTAGGGTTCTTCTCTACTATCTTCTCCAAGGTTATTCTCTTCACTCTTCTCCAAGTATCCATCTCTCTCTCTCTCTCTCTCTCTCTCTCTCTCTCTCTCACACACACACACACACACACACACACACATACTCTCTACTCTTCTTTCTTCATCTTCTCTTTCTTTATATATTTCCTCTTTTATTAAATTTTTGCGGAAATTAGGTTATGAGTTTTCCTTTTCGACGTTTTTTTTTTCTTGCTGTATTGGAACAATACATGCGGCTCTATGTCCAACTCAACAATCAAATAATCAAATAATCATCATGCGTCTGTGTATCCAACTCAATACATGCTGTTGAGTTTTTCTTGTGTTTCACAACTCAATACATGCTGTTGAGTTTTTCTTGTGTTTGTTTTATTTATGTATTTCATCTTCTCCAAGTATCCAACTCAATAATAAAATTATCATCCCAAGTCAGCAATTAGAACAATACATGCGACTATGTTTACAGCTTACTAAAAATTTCCTTGTAAGAGAGATGCAGGTTTCTTAGGATTTAATGTGGTGGCAAGGCCACGACATTAGTCAAGCAGAGGATCCGGATCTTACAATAGAACCTTACACATGAGAACGACTATCCATGGCAAAGGCGAGAGATTGAAAATTTTGACAAATGATCTTCAATTTTACAGGCTTATCCCTATAGCACCTTCAAGCTCATTTATAAGCAAACGCAAGAAATCTAATTTTATTGGTTGCCAAGACAACATAATCACATGAAATCAGGTGATGATTGGACATCAATACAGACTCCATCCCACACTGGTCAAAGAATTATACAAACTTGTATTTAAAATTAAACAATTGCAATCAACAACTTTACAAACTCAATTATTCAAAACGAATTCCTACCCATAATTATGACAACAAATATCATCCTACAGAAATGTAGGGCCTTACACTAGAAAAAGAAGATGACAAAAATGACAAAAAGGATCATGGTCGACAAAAATTATATTGGAGGGAAAAAAACTTCTAAGGATACACGGATGGTTTTCTATTTAATTTACAGGGATGAAACTGACCGCCTCAGGAACTCCCATGAGATCTAACAGACGAGATTGATTGTGCTGAAACGGAAGCAGTTGGGCTGTTAAGATCCCGGTCCCCGTTTGCGGCTTTTGGTCTTCCACTCAATCTTTCTATTGCATCTTGACACATGTCATTGAACCAGTCATCTTCCGGAAGCACACTGAAATAAAAATAAAGCTCAGCATAAAATAAATCAACTGTTTAAAAGCTACCAGGACATTTTCCAGTTTAACTTGTGCTTACATATACAACAAGCCGGCAATTTTTATCCGTGTGGGGATAGAAAACTAGAATAAGTTGCAATTTCATACTACAATGTGTATTGCTGCTTCAAATATGTGCATTTATGTTTATGCGTACGTATATAATTCAAGATGATGATAATATTAGGAAACTAAATAAAGTAGCATACCTATTGGGATCCATGCCTGTTGCAGAAAATGCTGTCATGGCTTTCGATATGATCTCATTTACAACTCGATTCAAATTTCGAGATAGGTAACGACCTTGTGAAGCAAAGCATATGACAAACTTCATATCCAGATAGAACTGCAACAGATAAAAGAAGTTATAATAAGAACATAATTAGTAGGACATGGCTGGTTGGGGTGGGAGGGAGCATTGGGTGTTCAATGAGGCAACTCCTCAAAATTATGACGAGAAGACAGCTGTGATATATCATTGAGTATGAGTCCTCGTTAGGATAACCCTTTAATATGATACAATTTCTGGTCAGTAATCTGCATTAAGTTCATATTTCTAATTTAACAACAATTTCATCAAAAAGTTGTAGGCATGCAAAGATTGTAAGTTTTTAACCAATGTTAGGCTGTATAAATTATCAGTTAGTAAACTGGGAAGCAAAAGGAAGAAGATAAAAAAAGGGAGTGGCATAACATCTTGGAAGTCCTTTTCATGCTTGATAGGTTGGGGATACAGTCAGCATTGAAAGATTGATTGCAAAAAACTAGAGCTATCACTGTGACAGGCCTTCTACTCTCCCCTCCCTCTCTCAAAATAGACCAAGCCATGATTTTTCCTTCCATCCTATTTTCTTTGTTTCTTCTACATTTTTTATCTTCATTTACTTATTTTCTACTTTGTATGATATAGGTCCTTCTCACATTGCTAAAACAGAACAATCTTCACATGAAAATACAATGCAACACATACAAAATAAATAGATGGTGTGACCAGAAATTCCGTACTTGTTGTAAGCCAAGAGGGCCTAAAGGCCTTGGCCCATCTTCAATATCATCCCAGAAGCTTTGGTCTTCCGAAAGCCACAATATGACAGTTTCTGTCAGTCTCATTAATAGCAATGTAGCAAATCTTTCCCTGCCTACAAACATTTCTGCTGCTATACTGGCCATTCTGTTTAGTTTTACAAAAAGTTCCTGGATTGGGAAAAAATAACAAAAGAAACTTAGGACTTGAAAAAGAATCAATAAGAAAAGCATGTAAAAAGTAGAAAGTGTTCAGATCACTTGCATGCACCACAAATAAGTTGAATATGCATATACACATCTAAAGGGAGATATCATATGCCCCCTGAAATTTTGGGTCAATTCTAATGTCCTTAAACTTTAAAATTGATCAATGCCTCTTTGGAATCTTAGATTGTCTCAAAAGCCTTTGCTGTTAGTTCGGATAGTCAATAACAAACCAAAAGTATAGATAGTGTAAGGATGGCATTTCACACCTGAAGCTCATGTAACAATACCATTCAAGGTAACTAAGTAAAGTAGTTCAATTTGAAGGTACTGTTGACACTAATGCAACAGAGACATGAATATACAAATCTGTAGGCGTCCAAGAATACTTTGCAAATAAGTTCAATTTCCATATATGCATATGATATCCATATACATAGAATCTCTCTTCTGAGTATAATTGAACGGCACCTAGAGTATTGATAACCATAATTATCGTAAAAGAATTTTCAAGTCTTGAAAGGGGGAAAAGGATAAAATTAAAATAACAAATAATGCAATAATTATATATGTACATGTATGCACACATGAAGAACGATTAGTTGTACATTACATAAGATATACATGTATTATTAATAGACAAAAATTAATTATACATAAGATATTTCTTTTATAGCAACGTTGATCCTCCAACAAGAAGTCAGAAAACCCTTAGAAAAATAAAATAAATTTAAAAAACCAAGTTGTCAGGCAAAGTGCTAAATGCACTCATAACCATAGAGGACATGTATTCTTCTTTAACAATGATATGAAACATGCAAAACAGATTAGCAGAGGACTACTTTGAAATGAATACCACTGACTAGCAATTGCAGGTCCGTTATAAAAAAAGGAAAAGAAAATAGTTCAAACAGAAATGACAATAGAGAAAAGTAGTATTCAGCATACCTGGAATATTAGGGATGGAAACCACTCAACCTCATCCACATTCCCATCCATGTTTATGTACATATCAGCAGAAAGATGGCTATCACCATCCTCTGTGAAAATGAGATCTAGAGCATGCTGACGACAAAAACTATCTTTTAATCTATCAACCGAGCTGGCCAGACGCCTCTTCCACTCCCTTTGCTCAGGATGCCGGTTTTGCCTATCTGATGATCTTCTACGAAGATCATCCCTGTATGCAGCCTGATTCAGTGGAGACAGCTTCATGGCTGCACGTGGAAGCAGCTCATCTGCTAATAATGATGCATTCGCCAGCAATGCAATCTGTTGAGCTTCATTCTCAGCTATACGAACAATTTTATTCCCAGAACCTTCAAAGTTTGCTTCTTCCTCCATTGAACCCGGTAATGCTTTTATGAGCATGTTCACATATGAATTAAAAACTTGGAGCAAACCTTCCAATGTCTGACCACCCAATTGCATACTGAGCAATGGTCCTACATCCTCAAAGAAATCCTGCAAGATCAGGTAAATTATGAAGCTAAAATGAAACGAGGGATGACACACACACACACACACACAGAAACTTAATCAATTGATTTTATGCGGGAGAAAAATCATTTACCTGGACCATCAAATTGAATCGATGTGCACTACTTGTGAGTTTATG